TAGATATTTCTAAGTTCAATCCAAGACAAATTCCACATACCGAAGAGAGACAAACAATGTTAGAAGCAAACAAGAGTGTTTATGAACTGTTCGTAGATGAAACTGACTTTGTGTCATTAGATGAAAGGTCATTGTACGATTCGTATAAACAATATTGTCAAGAATATGGTTATATGGCAGCGTCTAAACGTACATTCTTGGCAAACGTCAAAAATCTTTTAGACATACAGAATGGTGTATATACAAAGAAAAATTTTTCTGAGTAAATTTTTAAAAAAAAATATTTTTTTATCCGATAGAAAAGATGACGAAATTCATCTCAGTAAACAAGTACATGACAGAAGTCAAAGATAAGTTAGCTCCATTCGCATATTTGAATGTTTACTTCTACCATTTTGAAAAAGTCTACATTTGACAAAGTTTGGAACATCGAACCAGTTAAGTTTGCTATTGTTAGAAAAATGGTGCAAATTTGAAGACTTAGACATAGAAGGTTTGTTGACAGTCAAAGAAAATTTTGACAGAAAGGTTCTCAAAACTTAAGAAGGCAAAGCATACAAACTTGTTATACCTTATGAACCAAAGAAAGCAGACGACTATGAATATTATGAGTCTAAGATAGTTGAAGTTCAAGGTAAATTGGGTAAAAAGATTTTAGAGTCTAAGCCAGTGTTTGCCCTAAAGAGGAAGAGAACATTGACATTGACCCAGAAATGTTCTAAAAATAAAATTTTATTTTTACATGTCAATTCTTCTCTGGAATTGGCTCTGGTTCTTTCTTCTCTTCTTCTACTTTCTTTTCTTTCTTTTCTCTCTTCTCTCTTTTCTCTCTGGTGGAGTTATGTCAAACTTCTCAGAACCATATTTTTGTAAAAGTTCTTTGTCCTTTAATAGCTCTTCTATTCTGTTTTCTATTTCATCTTCAAGAACAGCGCATGTGTCTTCTTTGCATTCTAAGAACTTTTGTTGGACTTCATCTTTCCAATCGGCGTCATCTCTGTCAACAAGTCTGTCATTGACAAATTTTAAGACTGCTCTTTGTAATGTTTTATGGTTCTTGTCATATTCCCAGAAACAGAACTTTAGAACAAATTCACCTTTCTTGTTTACACTATGTAAGATTTTATGGTCGACAGATGTTTTGCTGTCGAAAAGTTTGTCTCGAATATAGATAGCGAAATCGCTAGACATTTTCTAAAAGATAAAAATTTTAATTTTTCTAAAAATATGTTAGAAAAAAAGTTTGCTGACATTGACAAGAAATTTGAGAATGTTTTAAACAAGAACAAGAGAAGTTAGAAAATGCTCAGATAAAGCCTATACATGACAAGTTCTTATTTGCTCAGAATGGTATAACAGGTCTAATTGCACCACCTGGGTCGGGTAAGACTTTCACTTATCTTAAAATGGCTGCACAACAACAAGAACTAGATGAGAAAAACCCATTCTATGAGTTAGTTGTCATTTGTTCGACTTCTGGTCAATTTGACCAAACCGTCAATTCGTTCAAAGATATTATAAAGAAGTCTAAGTTAGTATGTATAAAGGATACTGAGTTGTTAGATTGGATAAAGAAGTACCAAAGAAGAGTTTTGAAGTATAATGCTATAAATGAGTATATAAATTCTAAGTTCAAAGACCCAAATGAGGAAATGCAGAGAATATTAGAGAAGAAACACTTCAGAAACAAACAGAAAGAGATAGAATACATTTCGAAGAAATTGCAATCTTACGATTGGAAGACTTACCCTACAGATGTCTTCTTATCTTAGATGACTTTGCTTCTCATCCTTTGTTAAAGAACAGAGAACAAGACATGTGTCGAATTCTTAAGAAGCTCAGACACTTTAACATTTCAGTTGTCATTTGTTACAGACAGCAAGAGTTTAAGTAAGGATGTAAAGAGAATACTTACTGAATATATACTTTTCCCGGATTGTCCGAAGACGATTTCATGGAACTTATGAAAGAGTCCATGGCAGGTAAGTTTGACAGACATGAACTATGGGAGAAGTACAAAGTCATACAAGACCCTCATACTTCTTTCAGAATTCATATCTACGCAAACAAAGTTCAAATTGTAAAAAGTCAAGCGTAAAAATGTAAGTGTTTTAGTCTTAGTCTGTTGTGGTTCTGCAGCTTTCGGTTCTTCTGGCTTTGGAAGACATTCAGGAAGAGGTACGTCGGACATTCGTTTGTGTCCTGTCGGAAGGAAGGACTTTTCCTGTCGGAAGGAAGGACTTTTCCTGTCGGAAGGAAGGACTTTTCCTGTCGGAAGGAAAAACTTTTTCTGAAGTTCGACCAAAAAGTTCTCAATTTTCGAAAATTTGAATGGTTTACGGACGAACAACAGGAAATTTTTTTCCAGTTGTCAGGAAATTTTTTTCCTGTCGGAAGGAAGGACTTTTCCTGTCGGAAGGAAGGACTTTTCCTGTCGGAAGGAAAAACTTTTTCTGTCGGAAGGAAGGACTCGGAATGCCAGAAGGAAGGACTCGGAATGCCAGAAGGATTTGACAAGACAATTTACCTTATAGAGCTACCTGAGCCATCTGAAGTCAAGCTTGAAAAATAAATGGTTCATTTACTCTGCTTGTTTGAAGTTGTCAAAATACTCTGTTATTTTTTCCTTTAACAATGGCAAATCTTCTTTGAAGGTAAGTATTGTACAACCTTTCATATCATAGTGTGTTTGAGGTAACGTATCTTGAACTATTTGTTTCACATCTTCATTCGGTGTCATTGAAATCGGTAAGTTTTCGCGATAGAACCAATTTCTGTCAGATTTGTAAATCTTAGCAAGGTCGTAAAAGCTTTTGTTGTTTCTTCTGACTTTCACAAAAGACCAAAAATAAACGCTTTACATGTATTTTTCAGCAACTTCGTCAAATAATTTTATAGCACTATCTATCTCATCTACTTCAAACGTTTCTTTACCTTTCGTGGGAGCACCATACATTTTCTCAAACTTTTCAAGTAGTTCTGTTTCAGCAGCTCTCATATCGTTAACAAACACAACCTTGACTCTATTGACTATACTGTCATATCTTTTAGTTATATTATATGTTCTTCCTATCTTATATCTCTTTGTATTGAAGTCCTTCGGTTTCTGAACGATGTAAAGTAAGCCTTCACTGCAACGTTCCGTATCGAATGAACCATATGTTATGAAGTTATATCCAACAACTGGGTCTAACCATAACAAAACTATTGGTATAAGACTTTTGTCGATGAGATATGCTGTAGTTCCATAGAATCTTACCGATATCAAAAGCTCAGGATTTCTTGTCAAAATTTTCTGAGTTGAAGCATTTCTAACCCAGTCCTTTGCTCTCTTTCCAGATAGTGTTAGAATGTCTGACAAAGAATATTTGTTGTATTTCTTTGAGTATCTTACGTTTAAATCACCTATTCTAACCATTTTGGTGTCATTGTCTATCTTTTTAACTGTTTCAAACTCAATGTTTGTCATTTTCTGTTCTTACATACAAAATAAAAAAAATATTTTATAAAAAACTAACTTTTTTTCTATCTTGTATAAAAGATATGATTTCAGGGATTTTTTGACGAAGAGTAAAAGTTCACTTCGTAAAAAAAATACAGTTATATCATGAAATTTGGTCATTTTTTCACGATTTTCATAGAGTTTTGGCGACCAGGTTTTTTTACCTACTCGCAATTTTTCACTGTTTTCATAGAGTTTTGGCGACCCCGAAAAAAGTCTGGGTCGCAATTTTTTACGATTTTCGTACGGAATCTCTATCCTCAGTTTTTCGAGGGTAGCAAACATATGAGGAAATTCATGAAATTTGGTCATTTTTTCACGATTTCAGGGATTTTTTTTACGAAGTGTCAAAGTTCTCTTCGTCAAAAAAATACAGTTATATCATGATTTTTGGTCATTTTTTCACGATTTCAGGGATTTTTTTTACGAAGTGTCAAAGTTCTCTTCGTCAAAAAAATACAGTTATATCATGATTTTTGGTCATTTTTTCACGATTTCAGGAATTTTTTTTACGAAGTGTCAAAGTTCTCTTCGTCAAAAAAATACAGTTATATCATGAAATTTGGTCATTTTTTCACGATTTCAGGGATTTTTTTTACGAAGAGTAAAAGTTCTCTTCGTCAAAAAAATACAGTTATATCATGAAATTTGGTCATTTTTTCAGCAAAAATATATTTTAGGTGTCACTCGGTCCCTCGGTCCCTCGGTCCCTCGGTCAACTAACATCTTTTTGAAAATGGTGACAACATGACATTTTGACAACAACACAGGAAATAAACTTCTTCGTAAATGTTTTGTCAAGACTTCTTCGTCAATGAGTGTAAATGACCCAAAAATATATTTTAGGTGAAGAGGTGAGATCTCACCTCTTTTCTCACCTCTTTTCTCACCTCTTGAATTTTGTATAAAAGATATGATTTCAGGGATTTTTTTTACGAAGTGTCAAAGTTCACTTCGTCACTCATAACACAAAAATAGTGTATTTTAAACGAAGTGTCAAAGTTCACTTCGTCACTCATAACACAAAAATAGTGTATTTTAAACGAAGTGTCAAAGTTCACTTCGTCAAAAAAATACAGTTATATCATGAAATTTGGTCATTTTTTTCGGCAAAAATATATTTTAGGTGAAGAGGTTAGATCTCACCTCTTTTCTCACCTCTTTTCTCACCTCTTTTTTCACAAGCGTTTTACATGAATTGTACGATGTATATTTGAAATTCTAAACAATTTTGTGGCTTCTATTTCTTCTGTCAGTATGTCAAAAGTTTTCACAATATTGAATGTATCTTTATATTTCTTCTTGACATCTGAAAGAAGGAAATCGTCAGCTGTTGGATAGTTTTTGTTTAGAAATGTCAACATGTCCATTTTATCTTCTGCTGGTTTCTCTGCTTCTTTCTTTAAGTCAGCATAGTCGTTTCGCATACGTTCTATCTCTTTGACGGAGTAGTTATATTTCCTCATTGCTGCTTTACATTTAGAACATTGTGGGTTCATTTTTGCGTTATATTCTGAAACCTTACCTGCTAAAACAACTATAGCGTCAATGGTTTTCTTTAACTCAAAAGTTGCGGGTTTTATTTGTTCATTCCATACCTTACCTCTTTTATCTTTATCTCTTATCTGCCATACACATTCAGCAACTAACGAAACAAAGTTGTCGTAGGTCTTAAATTCTTCAGATTTATATATGTCAGAAACATTCTTATATACCATATCGCAGTCTTTGTCCATGACTTTGTGGTTGCAATGAAATCCAAGAAACTCATAGTTAACCTTACGTATGAACTTCTTTATTTCTACTGAGTCAGTTGCTTTGACTTCTATTTCATCGAATTCTGGAATAGTAAGCTTTTGTTGTTGTATTTCAGGAAGTTTAGGTAGATGGTCAATAATATCCTGCATTTCATAAAGATATTCTTCATTTGTTTCATCTTTTGCAGTGCAATCTAAATCTCCTTGGAGAAGTTCTTGCTTTATCTTCTGGATTTCTGTTTCGAAAGTATATGAAGAAGGAATGAAGCTTTTCATTTCTACTAACATTGAAGTTGGGTTCATGACTAACGAGTTTGGTGAAGTTGTTGCTAACATGTTCTTACAATAAAAATAAAAAAATATTTTTTTTAAAAAACTAAAATATATTTTTTATCTTAAGTAAATTCATGAAAATTCAACGGGTGAAAAAAGAGGTGAGAAAAGAGGTGAGATCTCACCTCTTCACCTAAAATATATTTTTCAATACTTTTTCAGCAACAAAATTCAACGGGTGAAAAAAGAGGTGAAAAAACAGGTGAGATCTCACCTCTTCACCTAAAATATATTTTTCAATACTTTTTCAGCAACAAAATTCAACGGGTGAAAAAAGAGGTGAGAAAAGAGGTGAGATCTCACCTCTTCACCTAAAATATATTTTTGCCGAAAAAAAATGGTTCATTTACTCACAATATTTTTGTACAAAACGACCCCAAACTTTTAACTTCTTTTCTGCAGCTTCTAATGAAATTTTAGCGAGTTCATATTCTCTAAATTCTCTCTTTAAATCTTCTTGTTCCCATTGGTCTAGTTCGTATGGAGAGTCTCTATAACCATAACATATCTCACGTTCATGTTCTATTTGTTTTTCGCACATTTTTCTAACTTCTTGTTCGAACAAAGGTTTTGCATTCTCTACTGTATCTTCGAGTTCTTCTTCATCTAATTTCTCATGAACTTTCTTGTCTATGGAGTCCATAATTTTTCCAACTGCTATACAATATTTTGGAGAAGCCCACATTGCTATATAGTTTAGAAGTCTTGGGTCTACATACGTTCCTCTAACCTGTTTGATTTCATCCGGAATTCCTGCACGAATTTTGTATAAAAAGCAATCGCCGGAATTCTGGCGATTGGTATATTCTTCACAAAATGCCTTAAAATACTCTTCCCAGGACTTATTTTCCAACAACTTTCTAAAGTCTTTCCTAAACTGCTGACACATATTTGTTGCATTTATATAACCATCCTTGTCTCTACGTAAGACTTCAATACCATTGTAAGTGCCTTTTGTGAATGTTTCGCCATTAGATTTGTTCGTGAACGTTTTTGCTTCGACTGACATTTCTGTTCTTACAATAAAAATAAAAAAATATTTTTTTTAAAAAACTAAAATATTTTTTCTGTCTTAAGGAAATTCATGAAAATTCACCTGTTGAATTTTGTATAAAAAGCAATCGCCGGAATTCCGGCGATTGGTATATTCTTCACAAAATGCTTGTTTTGAGGTCGAGCCACTTTTGGCTCCACCTCTTTTTTCAACCAAAACTCATTTTTCAATACTTTTTCAGCACTTTTCCGTAGTTATATATGAAAGACAATTCGAGATAAAAGTCATAGTACAATGGAATAATATGTTGCACACCGTTTGTTGTGAACCAAACTTGAAAGTCAGAGAAACTGTTACTAGGTGGTTCGTAGAATTTAGAAGCAAAGTCATAAAAGTCCTTACCAATACATAGAAAACTGTTGTTGCTTGAACTGAAACTTGCATGACACATGACATTTTGAGGGTCAAACACGTTTCTATAAACTGTCAAATCTGCTGGTGGAAGTATAAATTTAAATGGACCATCTGGTGGTAATGGTTCGTTCTGGTTTAGTAACCGAAGAAATTGTGCCCAAGAACGTTTGTCTACTCCCCAAAATAAAAACTCTGTATCTCTTGGAGGGTTAATTTCAATCTTTTGAAATGAAACGGTGGAGTTCATCTTGTCATATTCTAGTTTCAGATAGTATGTTCCATTTAGTAAAGAGTCGTATTTTTCTTGAAATTCCCAGTAGTATTTGTTCATTTGAGTTTGAAAGTCATTTAGAGTTTTTTCAAGACTTTCGTCGGAACGAATTGTAAAGATTTTCATTTCGTCAAATTTGTCTATGAGACCATCAGAACCTTTATACTGCCCATGAAAATATACTGCGAACATAAATGCGTTAGTTCTATTTGAAAACAAAACTCTTCAAAATCCTATTGCCTTTGCATCTGAAGGACTTTGAAGCCAACGAATTGGATAGTCAAACCTGTATGCTCGGGATGAAATTTCTTCATCTGAAATAGTCCTACCAGCATTTGTAAAGATATAGTCTAACGGTTTTGTATCTGCTACTTTTGTTCTTTGTTTTTCAACCTGAAGCATTTAATATATGTAAAAATATATTGTTTTAAAATGGTATGCCATATAGCTTCTTGGATTTGTTAAGAAGTATTTGAACGTATTTTCCATCTGTATCTCTAGTGTTTACATAAGCATAGCCCGCCTTAGTAAAATATACTTGTAATTTCCTATAGTTTACGCCGGTATAAAAGTAGAAAGAGTCTTGTTCTTCGCTATAGTAGTAAAACTCAAACGTATGCTTGCCATAGTCTGTAATTTCAATTGTTTCATCTTCTAGTTCGTCGACAAATTCGAATACAATATCTCCAAATTTGCCTTTGTTCTTATTGTTTTCAGAACGAGTGACCCAACGTAAGTTTTCAAGTCTATTGTCGTTTCTTATATGGTTTATATGGTCTACAAAAGGTAAATTGTTAGGATTCAGTATAAAATGAGTTGCAATGACAACATGTTTAAGATAGTGTTTTCCACCCATCTTCATAATAGCATATCCGTCATTTCGCTCCCATTCGCTTAAAACTCTTTTTGTCTTTTTGTTTCTGACTTCAAATGACTCACAACAGTGAATTTCATATTTCTCATCTAACAAACAAGTTTCCTTCAACTTGAGGTTCACTAACATCGAAAGGCATGTCCATAAGACGTTCTTCTTCTAACCTCTCTAGTCTGTTTGGATAATTGGCACGTGCTGTTTCCAAATCCATTTCGTAGCGAAGACCAGACAATTTGTCATAGACTTTTATGGGTCTTCCCTTCCTATATTTAAAATTCTTCGAAACTCTCCAACCATATCTTTGTAACTCTGCTTTTATTCTAGCAGACTTTCTGTCCATTCTATATGGGGGCATTTTTATAAAAATAAATTTTTTTTCTTTATTTTACATAACCGCCTGCTGCCATAAGTCTTTGACGCCAACCCATACCAGCTAATGAAGGTTGACTTGGTTTAGTTTGGAAACTAAACTTTGGTTTTGGTTTATCTTCAGTTTTTGGTTTTTCTTCTTCTATCGGTTTTTCGTCACTTTTCGGTTTCTCTGACTTTACTTCACTTGCAGGAACAGTTGTGTCGTCAACATCTTCATAAATATCATATGCCATTTGTTTTTGTTTTCCTTTCAACTTTTTGTGTTTGTTGTAAAGTTTAGAATATTTCGACTCTAAGTCAATGAGATGTTCTATAATGAACTGTTGGTCAGTGAAGTAAACTTTTCCATCTGTTGTCTCGAAAGCTCCTTCAGACTTCAATATTTTATTTGTGAGAGTCTGTTTCTTTTTGAGATACTAGCCGTTCCATTTCTATGAAAAGTGACTTTATAGTTAGGGTTTGTATTTCCAGACCTGGCACTTTCTATTATTGAATTTTTCTCTTCATCTGTAAGTTCTTTGACAGGTTTTGACAATGGTTCTGAACTTTTTTTTGTGGTGTCAAATCTACCGTTTCAACTTCTTCGGTCATTTCATCTCAGTAAAAAATTTTAGTTTGGTTTGTTTTCAACTGGTTGTTGTTGTGGAGGTGGGATGGTTCCTTTAATAATATCATTCAGTTTCACATGCAGAGCCTGACTATATGGTATCGGTTTAAATGCTGGAAGCCGACAAATCCATCTTGAACTCATTTGTCTCAATGCTGCATTGTTCATTTCATTTCAATAAAAAACTTTACATTCCCCACGTTTGAGGCGGTTGAGGTTGGTTATTGTTTACCCACTGTTGTGCATGGTTATATCCTCTGTTAAAGAATCTTTCACCTTGGTCCATATAGTGTCCTGCTTGGTTATAGTAGTCATTTGCTTTGTTATAATAGTTTCCTGCTTGTCTTCCTACATTGTCCATCCATCCTTGAACTTTCCTCTTGTTTCAGGATTTGGAATAAGATTTGTTGCATCTCGTGCTACATCCCAACCTTTCTGTATAGTTTGTATAATAGGTTGTGCTTTCTCTTTCAGTATACCTAATGTACTCAAAATCTTCCTTCCAACTCCAAATACACCTCTGGCTATTGTTCCCACTGCGGGTAAAAAATCTAGATGCGACTCCTGCTAATGCGCCAAATAAACCCATTTCTTATAGGGTAAAAAATGACGAATCCGAACAAGGACCCTATGTTTCTAAAGCGACAAAGAAAGCACTCATGATAAAATCTTTAGTTCAACACCAAATGCTTGGTTTATGGATATCTTGGAAAACATTCCGAGGTATAGAGAAGATGGACCACCATACTGGTTAATATTTGTTGGTCAAAACACAAGATACTGTGAAGCCATACCATTACAGTCCAAAGCTATTTTAGATATCTTAGCAGCTTTGACAATATTCGTTGACAAATACCATCCAACACAAAACTGACATCTGACTGTGAAAGTTCTTTCAAATCAGATGATATTAAAAACTATCTGCGTTCAAAAAATGTAAACCAATATTTCATTGTCGACCAAAACCATTCTGCTCTTGGTGTCATTGACGGTTGTATAAAAATGTTAAGAGACTTAAACCAATCACAAGGTGGTGAAGCAAATGAAATGTCATATGACGACAAATATAGACACTTCTCCATGGCAAAGATGAGACAAGTTTTAAATATTTACAATAACCGTAAACAAAAAGGTTTGGGAAACCACTCCCCCGAAGAAATGAAAAACAACCCTGACTTAGAGAAAGACTATATATTTAATAATTTAGTCAAAAGAGACAAACAAGAAAGAATGCCGGGCTTCAAACTTCAGAAAGGTGACAAAGTAAAAATAGAAATACCTAAACGCGACCCATATGAAAATACTATTGACTATGACAACAATGGGAACCCGACAGGTACTCACATTCGTGTTCGTAAAAATAGAAGAAAGTATACAAGAGAATATTATGAAGTTTTAGGCAAACATGGCAAAATGTACACACTGCAAGCAGAAGATAAAACTACTATTGTCAGACCTCGTTTCAAACTTGTCAAAGTTCAAGGTGGTATACTTTCAAAGACAGTTCCTAACAAATATAAGACAACTCCTGACGAATATGCTAAAGAAGTTGAAAATGACGACTAAGCAATTCTATACCATGCGTAAACTGTCATGTAAGGTGGCATGTATTCTTTACTTTGTCCCGTTGTTTGCGTATATCCTGAAACGAAATGTGTATGGTTTCCTTCTCCCTGAGTGTCACTCCAGTAACAATTTATAGCAAACTTAACGTCGTCTTTAACATCATATCCTTTACCTTTTGTCATTCCTGACCAATCCCAATATCTATGCTTATGCCAACCTGCTTGAGATGTACTTAAATCTATGTAATGACTGTGTGCAGGTAAATTTTCACCTGAAATCTTTTACTTCCACCTGTTTCCTTTGAAGAGTTTGCACAATACAAAAACCTGTCGACTATTTGTTCCCATGCACCAACACCAAACATTACTTGAGGACCTCTTGCATCCATAGATGTATAAATAGAACCTACTGGGTTCATTAAATCAAACATATGAGATATTATAGGATTGTCTCTTTTGAACTTAAAATATAGTGCAACTATTTCAGGTTTCTTCTGGTTTGTGTCAGAATATTTTTATAATATAATCTTATGTTTTCAGGGTAAGTGAAGTCTTGACTATAATATTTATTTCTGTCATCTGTATAATAATATACTATTCTCGTTTTTTCTATTGCATTATATCTTTTATATCTATAATAATCTAAATATAATGTTAGCTTTTGTTCATCTACATGTGGTGTTCTGTCGTCATCTCCATAGTCATAATAATGTGGTGCTGGAGCTGGGTCAGGCAATGTCATATCTGCCATTTCATAAACTCTTAAATATTTCTTTTGTTCGTCTCCATATAAGTTTAAGTAGCAGTTGTTGTCTAATGGAACTTTAACTTGTGTACCATCATTCTTTTTATAGCTTACATACATTTCATTGTTATTTTTCGGAATGAGTTTATACCGTGTACCATTTTCTAAGGACTGTACAAACTGCCATCTAAAATATTTATTTTCTTCATTGACAGAAAAGTCACCAACAATAGTTTCAATATTTTTTGTTCCTATCAAACTTTGGTATATTTCATTGACATATGTTTTATCTGCTTTATTTTCAAGGCTAACGTTTAAGTCTGTTATTTCAGAAGATGTATGTGTATGTCCAACGTCACTTTTCCTGTTTAAGGTTTCTTGTAAGTTTGTAATATCAGATATAGAATGTGTATGAGTCTTATCTGCTTTTGTCTCTAATGTTTCCTTAAGACTTGGTATTTGATTAATATAATGTATATGAGTCTTTTTAGAATATTCGTTTTCAGCTCTTGTCACTTCACTTGACATTTTATTGTCAACATATGTTTTGTCTGCTAGTTCAGGATGAGTATGTTCTTTTGTTGCATAAGCATTGTTAGCTCTTTCTTCTTCTTTTGCTATTGCATCGTCTACATATTCTTTGTCAGCTTTGTTGTTAACATCTGCTTTCAAAAGAAGTTCATTTATAGGTTTCTCGTTTAAAGTTCCTTTTGTTGGATTTATACAGACAGTATTGTTCTTATTGTCTTGAAATAGAAACTCATCTGTTATAGGGTTTAATGTCAGTTTTAAGTCACCCCTTTCAATGACTCAGATATCTTAGAATAGTTTGAAAAGTTTGTTGTGTTCTTATTTAGAGCTTGCATAATGAGTTGTCGGTTGTGTTGTATTTCTCGCATAGACGCTGTTTCATTTGACATTTTTATTATAGATAAAATATGCTTCCAATAGAAAAAGAAAATTCTAGAGTTGCTACAACTAAACCATTAGATGAACTTTTTACTAATGTCGGTCAAAAGTTTGACTTAGATACTATAAAGCATGAAGGCTATCGTTTTGACTACCCATTAAGATGGTTAAGAGACCCATCTGTCACAAAAGCTATTGGCTTTCGAAGAATAAAGTTTGTGTCTGTAGAAGATAAAAGTTTTCCATTTATTGTAAGGTTTCATATAGATTATACATCTGAAGGGCAACGAAAAATGTGGGAAGAAATTGAGCTAATACAAGTTGACCTCTCATCTTCTCTACAGGCTGCATTAAAAAATATAGAAGATAAAATAAATTCATGTTATGCAAAATATGCTGATGAATATGCGAATACCGATAGCACACTTTATGTGAGAATTGTATATGACAAACAAAATTCACAAGTGTCATTTCAAATCTACGAAGACAATCCAAATAAAGACGAACAAATATATACAGAATTCACTGCAATGTCATGGTATTATTTGCAAAGAATGTTAAATCAGAAAGTTGAACCTCCTTTAGCAAATATCTACAGTCGATATGCAAGAGATGAACCATATTTATTTAAAGATGTTTTCGACCAAGATGCTGTGATAGTTCATGCTTCATTTTCTGGCGCCCAAAACTCTTTCTTATGCTTGGCAAATGACTTTTACGAAAAACCTACAAAGTTATACGAACCACCAAGTGGAAGTATTTCAGACTTTCAAGTATGGTTTACTACAGATGGAAGAAAAAGAATAATTCCATTATACCATGCGTTTTACTTAGAACTTAGTTTCATATACAACTACTATCGAACGGTAAAAATATAACTTTTTAATATACCGGTTGTGGTTGCCAACTTGACTGTGGTGCAGGTTCAGGCTGTTGTATTACAGGAGCTTGTTCTTCTGGTTCAGGGTCTTTAGGTATAATACCAACGAACTGACCTACTCTTTTACCAATATTTTTGACACCGTTCCATACTCTTCTTCCGACAGATTTTATTCCATTCCATATACCTCTTCCAACATTTCGAAAGAAGTTTCCTATCTTACTGAAGAAACCCATTTTACTATATGTAAAAATCTAATGTCCGCCTAGTCTCTTACGTTTCCTGTTGAGTTCCATAGCATTCTTTAACTGGAGCTCATACATTCTGTTTCTCCTCTGGTAAAACATATTCTGGGTCAACTCCTGTGTTCGCGTCATCTGCATAAAGTTGTTTATATCCCACTTCAGGGTTTGTATAAAACTCTTTCCATCTCATATTTGCATACCATGGTGGCAAACCTAACGCAGCGTCATTTGACATGGCAGTTTGCATTTGTACATCTGTTGGCACTTGACCATAGTTTGCCA